GAGCAGCACCGGTGGCTCCCAACCCCCTTCCAAATGTCACTGAAAGGTTCCAGGGTCACCGCTGGACCTCGGGGCAGCTTTTGCGTGCCCAGGACTGCCTTGCTCGCCCGGTGCTGGGCTCTGCTCGAGCCCCGTCACTCAACCGTGGCTTCCCCTCGCAGGGGAACTGGGGCCTCAGGGCTGGTAGAGGGTTTGGGGGCTGTTTGGGTTGGTGGGAACGGGGAGATCTGGCGAGCACAAGGCCACGCTGCCGAGGGATGTCCCACCATCGTCCCAGTGTTTTCCCAGCCCTTTCTGATGGGTGCTCTCTGGCTGCAGACATGCCACGGGCAAGGCTCAGCATGGAAACTTCCTGGTGGCCATCAAGCAGGAGAAGGGAGAGCTGGCACGGGCGAGCAGCGAGAAGCCGCACGGCGAGGAAGAGGTGAGCTCTGGTGCCCGCATCCCTGCCAGCGCAGTCCCTGGGAGCAGGGTCTGTGTTGCCCAGCCTGGGGCTGCCCCTCTGCTCGCCCTTCCGCAGCCCAGGCGAGCCCGTGGCTGTGGCCATGGCCTGAGGAAAGGCCCAGACCTTCCCCCTGCCGGCGTCATGGCATCGTGGGCTCTGATCCGTGACGGGTTGTCCCTTTCCCTCTGCTGGGTGCCAGCCGGTGAAGAAGAGGGGCTGGCCCAAGGGCAAGAAGAGGAAGAAGATCCTTCCCAATGGCCCCAAAGCCCCTGTGACGGGCTACGTGCGTTTCCTGAACGAGCGGCGCGAGCAGATCCGCACGCAGCATCCTGACCTGCCCTTCCCGGAGATCACCAAGATGCTGGGGGCTGAGTGGAGCAAGCTGCAGCTTTCGGAGAAGCAGGTACCGACCCCCCAGGAGAGATTTTTTTTTCCCCCCCCCCCCCGAGGGCTGGGCAGCAGAGCCTGCGCCCCAAATCCCTTTGCTGGCTGCCTGGCTGCAGCTCCACAAAGGGAGCTTGTCCCAGTACTGGTGAGCAGGAGCTGGGCCTCGAGGAGTGGGGAGGGGTCAGCAGCCCCTTGGGGGAGCCTGGAGGCCGGGCCAGGCTGAGGACCCTCTGTGACCGTAGCGGTACCTGGACGAAGCGGAGCGGGAGAAGCAGCAGTACATGAAGGAGCTGCGGGAATACCAGCAGTCAGAGGCCTACAAGATGTGCACGGAGAAGATCCAGGAGAAAAAGATCAAAAAAGGTGGGTGGTGGGAGCAGCGGCTGCCGGCGTCGCTGCTGGGATCCGGCCAAGTGCTGCCGGAGCCCCTCGGGGAACAGTGGGCTGGGGGTAACCTCCTTCCCCCTCGGGGAACGGTGGGCTGGCTCCTGGGGGTAACCTCCTCCCTCCTTTCCAGAGGACACGGGCTCTGGGGCAGTGAACACCTTGCTGAACGGGCACCCGCACAAGGTAAGGCCCCGGCAGGTGTGTGGGGAAACTGAGGCACGTGGTGCTGCTGGGTTTGGCTGCAGGTTTGGGCAGAGGGAGACTCCGTGGGTTGTGCCTTAAAGCACCAACTTCCTGTTGAAGCAGAGCTTGGAGTGGCAGGAGGCAGAGCGTAGCTGTCCTCTCTGCCTGCCCAGGCAGGGCCACCCCTTGCCGCATCCCTGTCCCTCCTGCCTGCCCAGCCCCGAGGAGATGGGGTCCCCTTCAGTGGGCTCAGCCCTGCCTGATCAGTCCCCTCCTGTCCCCCAGGCTGGTGAGTGCAGCGACACCTTCTCCACCTTCGACGTGCCCATCTTCACGGAGGAGTTCTTGGACCAAAACAAAGGTGAGGGGCTGGGCTGGGGGCGGGGGGGCTGCAGCATCTTGCCTGGGGGGCTGCCGCTGCCGGAGCAGCCCGCACCCTGCGGGGCAGCACCACGGCTGGCACTGGGTGTGGGATCCAGGCTGTGAAAGGTCCCTGGTGAGGCTGGATAGAGGGACCAGATCCTGGCTGGATCCTGGTGATGCTTGGAAGAGTCGTGGCTGGGGAAGGGGTTTGGTTTGGGCTGAGGGAGAGAGTCGGAGGGGCCACCTCTGCTGACGCCGTGCACGGTCCCGGCAGCCCGGGAGGCTGAGCTGCGGCGCCTGCGGAAGATGAACACGGAGTTTGAGGAGCAGAACGCCATCCTGCAGAAGCACACGGAGAGCATGAACTGTGCCAAGGAGAAGCTGGAGCAGGAGCTGGCCCAGGAG